CCAGCCTGGGTGACAGAGTGAGACTCCAACTCAAAAAAATAATAATAATAAAATAAAATTACAATAACATCATCATCATTTTAATTGTACATAGTAACCTAATACACTGCCTAACACCAGTGATATAAAATGATCAAATGTTTTTAAATATGTATTCTTAGTTTGAATATATATTACAACTTAAAAACTGGACTTTTCTGATAGATTTTATAAGTGTTTTGTCTCATTGACTTATTTATTGCAAACACTTTTATTGCACCTTTATCCAATTTAATTTTATTAAGCCACAAAAAATCAAGTACTTTTCAAAGTAGCAATTCACATTTACCTGTACCCTCTAAGAAACTAAAAGGTAAACTCTTTATTTAGACAAAATAGATATGTATAGAAAAGAAGAAACAAGTCAGGGTCATAAAAGTCAGAAGAAATGGTTTGGCAAAGAAACAAACTATGTCCACTTCATAAAGAATTTACAAAACATCTCTGGAGGAAAAATAACTGTGAAATGACATGAAAACAGGACAAAGAGATATACTGACTTAGTTACCAACTTAGTCTTCAGCTGGCCTCTTTAGCTTACATACACATTCATTTCCATCACCTTTAATGGAGAAAAATACACATACATGGCAAGTTAATCTCCCCATCTATGGTCTGTAAATAGAATTTTAGAGAGGAAAACAGCAATTTTGTTATTTCAAATTCCCACAATGGCTAATAATAACCAAATCTCCAGAGTTTATTAAGTCTTCACAAGGATACATTGTAAAGCTTCTTAAATGATTGCAAAATCTCAGAGACCATATACCACCTTGGACAAGATCTGGAAGAGTGCTATCTGAAATGGAGATTCCAACTTACAAGAATGAGAGCAACGACTAGCTAACTGACTGCTTAGTCAGAACAAAGAGTTACCTCCAGACTCAAAAAACTGTTCCTCAGACCCTATCCAGGCCCACATTCCACATTTGATCCTCGACAAATACCATAGAGGCAAATCTCCTGAAGTCAGAATATGTATTTACTGGTTTTGAGGACAAAAAACTGAATAAAGAAGAGCAATCTTCCTGATGTAACAAATAAAAGGGAACAACAAGGAACAGTCACATACAAGGAATGTAATAAAATTATAAAGGAAGCTTTTTTTCCTCTTCCCATACTTTATTGGCATAGAAAAATTGTCACCTAACATCTTATTATTTACTCTAATTTTTTTGATGTGAACGAGATGTAATTTCCTGAAAGCTTTATGATACAAAATGAGGTATTTCAGATATGGATCTCTCCAGTGAAAGCACCCCAAGGCATATCTAAGTCCTTTGATGCCCACCCCTTCTATCATGGGGTTTGATGCAATGGGAAGGATATGCCAGCATGTCCATAGCTTTATCAAAACTTTTATGAAAAGTTAGCCCATCTACATGTTAATCACTTACACATCAACTTGTTTTACAGGGACCCCACCAAGGGGACTCAAAGCAGATGCTATTTGGATGATAGATTGTTACTCACTTGTCAGTTTTTCCACCACCAGTGGAAAACTTGTGACCATTTGTAGGTAGACATAATTAATATTCTCTCTTGGATGACTTGATGTGGTCCCTTTAGACAGTGCAGTGTCAACATCTCTTCTGTGTTTATTACCTATAGAGGGTATCTGATACACTGAAGATATGTGACTGGACAATCAGATTATCATTTTGCATAGGTCTGAGAAGCAAAGGATTTCTAGAGCAGGACTTATCCTTGGATCCCTCCTTCAGGGAGTGCACTGGGGGATGAATGAGGATGCAGCTGCTATCTTACCAGGTTGCTGGAGTCACACATAGAACCTCATCCTAAGAAGATACTTATTCATTTTCTTCTCCCATATAACTGTCCATATGCTAGATTTCATAATCCCCCTCTTACGTGTCCTTGGAAGTTGTGGTTCAGGGTCAACTTTAACCCATTCATTCAGATTTTGATTCCTCAGACAAAGTTCTTATTTACATAGATTTCAGTTATGCTTTGTTCAAGTTCTAACTCCTCACATCTATTCTTTATTAAATGGGTATATGATAGAAACCAGGGATCCTCAAAGGTCCCTGAGAACTAAACACAGCCACCAGGAAGACTTCACAAATGTGAATGTATGTTTCAAGTACAGTTGACGTCAGAATCATCTACTGCTCTCTGTGGCTTTATGCCCCATGAGTTCAGTGACGTCAGAGCAGCACCTTGGACAACTATTTGTAGTGAATGTACTTTCTCCTCCTACCTCAGTCAGAGTATCATTTTTTTTTTTTGGCTTTTTTTTATTATAAAGATGTGAGGTACAATTCAGGGTTAGGTATATAAACGTTGATTATGCAGATACCCTTGTTGATGAGGTATGCCCCTCCCTCCCCTAGCAGTTTCCCTCAACTGCCAATTCCACTTTTCCCACCCCCAACCCGTGACAGTTTCCCACTACTGCCAATTCCTTTCTTATAGTACTATGATAATTGTTCGAGTTCCACTTATGAGTGAAAACATACAGTACTCTGTTCTTTGTTTCTGTGATAGATAACTGAGGATAATTGATTCTAAATCCATCCAAGTTGCTGCGAAGTCCATATGTTCGTCCTTCTTTAAGCCACAGTATTTATTTAGAAAAAAACCTTAGGAGCCCCCAGATGCCTTTCTATTACTTTATTTTTTTCTTTCTTTATGCACTCATTGAACCAATCAATACAAATTTATTGAACATATACTTAGAGTGGCAGTGATACTGCAATGAACATATCGTGTCCCTACCCATATACAGTCTACTTTTTTATAGAGAAGATAAGGAATACACCAAGAATTACATAAAGTTAAGTAAAATAAGTGATATGAAGAGAGCTAATGATGGGTAAGTGAGGTCAGGGACTACCCATGTCTGTGGAAGTCATATTTGAGGAGCAAGCTAAATGCAGAGAGCTCTTTACCTGGGTAGAGCCATGAAATGGAAGAGGTATTAGTATGAGCCATTGCTGTATTTGTCTCACCTGAAGAAAATTCATGAACCCATGTTCAGATGGGTTGTCATTTTTTCAAATGAAGTTCATGATATTGTTTTGTAGTATTCACATTCATATTTTGCACTGGCATATATGTCGAGTTATGAACTTTGCTTATAAGAGACTATAATAATAGAATTAAAATGTAAACTTGCCTATAATCTTAGCTACTCCAGGGCTGAGACAGGAGGAAGCCTTGAGGCCTGGTGTTCCAAGTTATAGTGTAAAGTGATCTAACCTGTGCTCCAGTCTAGGCAACAAAGTGAGGCCCTGTCTCTGGGGAAAAAAGGGGGGATATGAAAAATATATTAATTTTTATTTTTCATGCATTATGCAAGAATATATTACTTGCATTTTGCAATTTCTGATAATTTTATCCAATAAGACTCGTTGTCTTTTAATTAACATTATAATTATGTCATTGCTTTTTAATGCCATTTCAAATTACAATAAATCTTCATCACTGTAATTGTATTTGTAATCTACTTCAGTGTTCACTGGTAAATGACAACTCCTGGTGTATCATGTTTCCAGATGGCAGGTGTTCAGACAAAGTGGCCTGTGGAGGCACAGGAAAACCCTCAGACAACAGGTGCAGGTGACAGAACTTGGAAGTCAGGTCAGCTCCAACTGAAATGACAATGGCAAAGAGAAATGTTTCAACAAGCTACTCATGTTTTACTTATAGACGAAGTTATCGTGATGTATAACTTCACAGATATAAGTAACATGACCATGTTGGTATTTCTCAATTTTTCATTTCATAAGATAATATTTCTTGGCATACCATGTACATCAGGAAGAATTAGCTCTCTTAACTGTCCCCATTCTCTGCCACCACAGTCACCATAGACTTGCATTCTTCCCATTCTTCCATGATTCCAATGTTGTTATGCAATCATGAAGGTCAGAGCTAAAATCAGTTTTCATATTACAGTGGTGGTGAAACACTTTTCACTTTATGATTAAAATGATAGGGGCTCCAATGTAGACCATAAACAACAGTGAACAACAAATAGACAATATCAGAAGAAAGATAGAAATCTGGGAAATATTGTTCTGTCTCTTTAAGCTTCCTTTCTATATTCAACAGTTAGGGTTAAAAAGAGACTGTATCGTAAAGTTGATAAATTTTGGGAATCTGGGTTTAAGTTTTGACTCTATCAATTCCCAACTCTAAGAGTCTTGAGCTTCCTGAAGCCCCAATTTCCTCATCTGTACAATTAAGATAATATCTATCTCCTATGATAGTTGAGAGGATAAAAATGAAATAACATAAACTGCCTAGAGCAGTATCTAGCACATAATGACTAAATAAATATTAGTTTTAAATCATTTTCATTCATGAAGCAGTATCAACCATTAGATACAAGTTCATTAAAAAAAACAAAAGAGAAACAGGGGTGGGCGGCAAGATGGCGACCGGGCAACCCGGTGTCTGAAGCCCTCTACAAGGGAGATCTGCAGTGGGTCTCTGACTCTCGCCCCGGGGGGCTGGGGACCCCAGCACTGCAGCCTGCTCTTCAGACAGAGCTG